TATCATGAATTAAGAAGTCAGAAGGGAGCTGATCCATCTGTTACAGGGAACACATAACTTTCAGCTACTTACAGTCCCTGCTTCAATGCAAGGTGGAGTCTTCTCTGCACAACAGTAGTGCTCATGCACCTTGTACACTCATTTGCACAGTTTCAACACATCCAATTGTATTCAGCATCTACTAAAACAAATTTCTTTGGGGCAGGCTTGACTGCAACAGTTTTTTATTATGTTCACATACCATATTATACCACAAACTTTATGCAACAGAGATTAATGGATTTTGGTTTTGGTTGTTTGTTTGGCTTTTTTCCCTTGTAGAAATGAATCCAATAACTGCAATCATTGTCCTGGCTGCATTACTACCCCAATCTGATGGACAGGTAAGTACATTCATCTATGCAAATCAGCCATATCTGAGCCCATTGTATAGATATCTGACCTGATGTAGTTCAGTCTAGTGATCTCTAGAGCTTTACAGTTCAGGGGTAAAATTATTGTTATCATGTTAACATAACACATTGAAGATGAACTATTAGTTTTCACAGATTTTTGTATAATTATTACTATTATTTGTATATTGGGTGAGCAACCTGGTCTAGTGGAAGGTGCCCCTGCCCATGACAGGGGAGTTGGAGCTACTTAATCTTTAAGGTGCCCTCCAAACCCAGCCATTCTCTGATTCTTCCTACCAAAATATTTTTCCCTTCATGATACTAATTTTTAAAACACATTTTCAACAAAAAAATAATTAGTCAAGCTAAGAATCAGAAATGATTCTTAAATTTCTTAGAGAGGATCTACTATGTAGGCACTTGAATGTGAGCTATTTTTCAAGATCTGCTTATTAATGAATTCAAATAAATTTGTACTTCAGAAAAGCAAATCATCCCTTTCTTTGGTAAACTATGTCCTAAGCTGTTTATTTCCTTTACCTGAGTATAACAGCAGCCAAAATAACTGGCTGAGGTGTTATTTCCGACACTGTAAATGTTGTAAGTTGAACAAGGTGTACAATGCCACTTCTTGGGATAGGTTCAGTTGCTCAAACAGAAGTTTCTTAGTACAGCTTGAGATTCTCCAGAGTACCTGAGCCATTCATGGGCGGCTGCACAGACAGCTACACCTTTCTGGAGCAGCAGCCTGAGGCTAGGTAGGTCTGTGTGGGCATTTCAAATGCATTAGGTGATATCTTAAGTCACTGACTACAGCCTTTAAACCTACAATTGAGCTCTGAAGGCAAAGCAATGGGATTCATTCATATTACTCAGACATTTCAGAATTTAGTCTCTCTAATTTTCTGCTCTTCTCATTGACCATAAAGGTAAACTGAGATGACTTTTAGATAGTTACATCTATGGTATGGATATCTAAAATTAAATAAGATAAACCAGTGCTTAGAAAAGAGACCATTGCACCAATAGCAGAACTCATCTCTTTGACTATAGCATCAAAGTATCAGTTGTCCAGATGTCTGTCAGCCCCTCTACAAAAAAAAGGAAGGAGAAAAAGGTACTTGTAGAGAATGGTTCTTCCAGTCCTAAAAAGAAGTTCAGATTTTGTGGGTTCACATTTTTCCAAAGGTTACAACTGACTAGCTAGGAATGTTTTTTTAATGCACAAAAGAGGTCAAAGCTAGTCTTGAGATTTGTTTCCAGACAAATCCAGCTGTTTCTCCATAGTTGATGTGGAGAAATCTGAAAGTAGAATTCCTATCTACAAATTTCATTTAGGATCATATCTCCTAATGAAAAATGCAGTTCCAATCAGTGAAGGGAGAGAAAACATCAGCAATTGTAAGACTAGAACAATGAATAAAGGAAAGTTGGGAATTTCCAAGAAGCTTTGCTTGGACAAGAAGCCCATAGTTTATCTTGTTTATTAAAATTCTGTTAACTGGTACTTTCATTCTTATTGTTTTCCAGGCTTTTCCGTACAAACAATTGAACTTTTTCTCCCTTCCTCATTCTAAGTCTCAAAACAAAAAAGAGATCCTTGCGCAACACAATGAAATACGGAGATCTGTAGTTCCCACAGCCAGGAACATGCTGAAGATGGTAAGATATGTGCTACAACTACTCTGCTTTTCCCTTAAAAGAAAGGATAGGGCAACCCCAGTATCAAAGCAGGCTGTGGGATGAAGGGATTGAGAGCAGCCCTGACAAGAAGGACTTGGGGGTGTTGTTGGATGAGAAACTCGACATGAGCTGGCGATGTGCAATTGCTGCCCAGAAAGCCAGCTGTGTCCTGGGCTGCATCAAAACAGTGTGGGAAGCAGGGTGAGGAAGAGGATTATGCCCCTCCACTCCACTCTCGTGAGATCCCACTTGGAGTGCTACATCCAGCTCTGGGACCCCCAACATAAGAAGGACGTGGACCTGTTGGAGTCCAAAGAAGACCATGCAGAGTCTCTGAGGGGTGGAGCATTTCTGCTATGGAGACAGGCTGAGGAAGTTGGTGTTGTTCAGCCTGGAGAAAAGAAAGCTCTGGGAAGACCTTCAAGTCTCTTCCAGAGCATAAAGGGGGTCAATAAGAAAGATGAGGAAAATCTTTTAAACAGGGCCTGTTGTGATAGTACAAGGTGTGATGGCTTTCAGTTAAAAGAAGGTCAGTTTAGATTAGATAGAAGAAGAAGTTGTTTATGATGAGGATGGTTAAACACTGGCACAGGTTGCTCAGACAGGTGGTGGATGTCCCATTCCTCTAAACATCCAAGGTCAGGTTGGACAGGACTCTGAGCAATCTGAACTAGTTGAAGATGTCCCTGCTCATTGCATAGGGGTTGGACTAGCTGACCCTTCAAGGTCCATTCCAGCCCAAACTATCTAGGTTTCTATGATTTTAACAACAGAAACACACGGCCCGGATGAAAGAAAAAGCATGCAAAGCAAAGGTGGAGCAGGAGCCCGAACAGCAGCCTGCTTCTGAATCACATACTGTCAGGGGGGCAAAAAAGATCTAGATCTGTATAACCATTTGTCCTCACCTGAGCTTGCTTTGCCCAACATTTCTCCCATGCCTGTCACCCCTGATATTCCTTGTTACCCCTACCCTACATGTAGATTTGCTGCTCAGTGCTTTGTGGTTAAGCCTACACAGTGAGGCTTGCAAACATTCCCCAGGTTCAAAGCCCAGCTGGCATCTATCACTACGTCTCACCTGGGCTGAAATTCAGTTTTATGCTATTCAGTGCATGCACCCTGCAATGTTCACTTAGACACAAAGCTGAAAGAAAGTAACAGTATGTTGTAAAAATTGTATTGATCAGGACCATCTGGAGATCGGGACTGTGTGATATAGCTGTGCAGAGTAACCATAAATGCAGACAACACAAGAGTGCAACCTCTAAGAGTTGAAATGTGGTTTCTATGCCCCAGGAATTTAAACCTGCATGAGCCCTTCTCTTTCTGTTGAGGGTCACAGGAGCATTCAGTGTACAGCACCCAAGTCATTCCCCATTTTTTTCTTCTTACGGACTGCACTAGCCTATCTATGACCTGCATACTTCTTCCTTTGTGTCTTTCAGGTTTGGAGTGATAAAGCTGCCAAAAGTGCTCAGAAATGGGCAGATAAGTGTGGGATGAGAATCAGTCCAAGAGAACAGAGAGTCATTAATGGTACTGACTGGGATGGAGCCTAGGCTTGACGAGTTAATGACAGTTTGCAGATGACCCCTGTGAATATGAAATAGAAGAAAGGAATACCTTTTAAGGACCTGATGTAG